AGTTCTCCCTCGTCCTCATCCTCCTCTGTACGCATATCTTCATCACTCTCTTTACTGGACTCGCCACTCTCTTCCTCCTTCCTCGTCAACTTGGCCCCCGTCGCCTTCCTCGCCCTTTTCACCGCTGGTTTCTTTTTGGTTGTTGGTTTAACCCCGTACCTCTGCACCAGTTCCACCTCGTCCTGTAATCTCCTAATCTCGTCCTTCTTAGCGTTCAACACGGCACAGAAACCCTGGATCAGACAGTCTTCCGTGCTCTGCTTGGCTGTTAATGCCGTTTCCAGTAGCTTTTTCTTTTGTTCCAGCAGTGCCTCTAGCTGCGTCACTCTGCTACGTTTATTGTCAATTAATTTTCTCTCTTTTTGCTGCTGGGCAGCCACTTGGTGCAGTAACATACGCCATTTGTCACCACTTTCCGTGGCTTGGAACTCGATGGCGCAGAATTTCATGGCGAACTCGGAGCGCTCCATAAGCGTCAGTGTGCGCTTTGGTCTCGACCACCGGAACTCGAAGCGTGGCTTAGCGTCTGTCACTGGACTCAGCGCCGTCTCCACCGCCGCCACATACTCGACACCGGAACAGTCGAGCACTCGCGGCTTGTGACGGGATGAGACTTCGGCCTCGTATAAAGTTGGAGGGTCCAGCAGCTGCACGCGAATAGCAGCGGTCGAAGAGGAAACTGCAGCGAGACGAGCGCACTGCACGAAGAGAGACAGCGACGATGTGGAGGACGCGTCCGCGTCCACCACGACAATTTCCGCTATCGACATCGCTACACAAATTTGCACTGAAGTTCTTGCTATTAGAATTGTTCCATTACCCAATTATTAATTTGGAGAGAACTTGCCATCGTAAATCCCAGAAGTCTACTGAATACCGGTAATACTGTTGTCAATTAAGTAGGCTTTTCTAATAAGGAATCCATATTTTATTTTATAAAACAAAACGGAAAATATTTTCAAACAACTTCCAAAGCTTGAAAGCCACACACTTCCTAGAGGATCGGGTGAGTCGTCCATGGCTGCTTACTGGGTCGGCGTAA